AAGTGTAAAAGGCCTCGCATAAATGTCTCAGTGCAATGTATCACCCTCAGCATAGAAAGGCTATGCTTATAGACTTTGCTATATTCACTAACACCATACAAAAAGTCGGGAACTCTTAGCTGTATGGGAAATGAGAATCTCTCCCTAAATAAACTCACTAGAATTTTTCCCTTTTTTATTCTGTTCACTTTAATGGTACTATGTGCCTTATATATATTATATGTTCTTTTCATCCGTGACATCCATTGGGAAGTCACACATGTTTGCCACAACCTCACACATTTGACATTTCTTTTTTCTGACCTCTTGATGCAGTGTGCTATCAAAGTACATCTTTGAGTTTTTCTGAATTGAATCCTGGTAGAAGAGGTTTAACAGCATTTAAAATTGAACTGGTTTAGATTCTCTTCCATTCGATAGAGGTTCCTTTGTTTCTGCCTACTTACCCATGTCTGACTCTATTCTTTTCTTTTTCTTACATTAAAATTGGAAAGGGAGAGAGGGGGAGCTCCTTAGGAGAAATAGGTCTGTGGAGAATTGTGAGTACTCATTCAGAAGCTATTCTTAGTTCTGAGAAATATAATGAACTTGAGCTTTGAGTCTTACAGAGTCTCCCATTAATGATCCTGCCATCATTTCCACCCCTTCACCTGATTTTGTTTTCCCCAAAGGCTACTGGTATTTTTCCCCTAATATTCTGAATGGAGGATCTTCCGAGTAAGGCATACCTTGAAAGAGATTGAGTCCTATTGCAGAAGTGGTTTACTAGATGATTCTTAATTGTCCTTTAGTGCTTCTATTTTGCATTACCTTAATGTCTGCTGTGAGGAAGAAGCTTTTCTATAGACCTTGATTTACTTGTCAGAAGTCAACCCATTAACATTAACATTTCACTTACATTATCATTATGGTGTTTCCAGCTGACAACTGCTCCCACACTGCCATGTTCCCCAAGTTCCCAGTGCTGAGGAAAAAGAGACTTTTGTTCTGGCTTGATGAGGAAAAAAAATGCAAACAACACTAGCTCTACCACCAGAGATCCTATAAAGACATGTTCAAATGAACAATAGGTCGTTTGTTCACATATGACATAAGAATATAAGAATTTAAACAATAAGACCTCTTGTGAAATGTGGCAAAATATGCACCACAAACATTGTGAAGTTCTCTGTCTCATGGAAGGCAATTTTTACATGGGCTTCAAAAAACCATTAACTTGTAAACTACCCTTTAAAAAAAGAAAAGAAAATCACTTGTCTCGCTATAACATTAAAGCAATTTCTGTTCTAAGGAAAGCTAAAATGCATTCATTTATGTAAAGTACATGCACTATAATTTGTAAAAATCATAGTACTCTATTAGGAAATGCAGCGCCTCTTCCCTCCTTCACCTGAAATGGGAAATCCATTCGTTTTGTCAAGGCCCTTTTTTCTTTGAATAATATTTATTTCTTCAAAATGTCGGGGGGGGGGATCCTTTAATCACTTAGATTCAAGATGAAGTTTTAAGGCTTGACAATAATTCTCTAAATCCTTCTGACATTGGTGGAGCATAGGGAGGGAATAATCCTGCTTTGAAGGGAAATTTTAATTGAATTTACTTTAGTGTGAACCCTATCCTTTTTTGCCTTGAGCCTTTAAGGAAGGCTTGGTATATTTGCAAACCTCAGCAAGGATATGGCAGAAAAATACAGAGATTTCCTTGTCAGCTCATGTCAGGGTCTTTGGCAACACCCCAAAATTGTTCCGATTTTGATGTTTGAAATGTGACCTTCCAGGAAAAGTGGTGGTGGGGCAGGGGAGGCACATGTTAATTGGCCAAAGGTACTCCGCTGAGCTGACTAAGTATTAATCTCTAAAGGTTTTCAAGTATTTGCAGATGGATATATACAGCATCCTTGCAGAATCCTCTTAATTGAAGAAATGTTTCATCTCTATCTCTGTTGACAGAAAAGATTGCCTACTGATAATTGCTTTGCTTAAGTGTCTGATAATATGCCAGGAATGAGAGCATTCTGTGTTAGGTCATCTTTAATTATGCATGTACCACCTGTCAGCTCTAAATCAGTACCAGATTAGATTCTCGCAGAGTCAGTTTGGGGAGGGTTGGAGGGAAGCTGAGGTGATCTCTTTTAGAAACAACAAAAATAGACAGTAGTAAACATGCCTTATAACCTGCAGCTTTTTAAAGGAGCCTCATCTTCATTGTTCTTGAGCAGGAATAAGCCATTGGTACATCTGAAAAATGTTTGAAATCTCGCCCAAGCCAGATAAATTACTGTGAAGATAAATTACTGCGAGAGGATGGTAGTACCTCCTCTCTCGGTACCATCTGTTGCATTTCCTTTTTGCTCCTTCTCATCGTTGTAAATGAGCCAGGGAAAAGCTCAGAAACATTTTTATAAGCTATGTGAGGACAGGAAATATGTTAATGATGTTAGATTTCATACATTTCAGGGGTTTTTTCAGTAGCTGGTTGGTTTTTTTTAGAAGGACAAGTGTGGGTTGGAAATAATGCTTGTTACCCTCTGTGAGCTTTTGGTAGTTTTATTCTCACTTTTCAGGGTTGTTTGGGACTTTCTGGTGGGATGTTTAGGGTTCTTTACTGAACCCTCTCTTGTCTCTGCTTCTGTCCTTTGATTAGGATGGGTTTGTGAAAGGTGTTTTTCTTCATTCACCTGTGAGAGGTTTAAGGGAAGCCTTGAGGTATTGTGCGCTTTTTACAAAGGCGGGTTGGATGACTGAGAGGCTGAAGGCAGAGAAGGGGCAGGTAAAAGGAAGTAACAGGTGTGTGTGTTATCAAGGGGGTGGGGGGCCTCTCAGACTCCCACCTGCAAAGGTAAGGCTCTGAGCCTGTCTGCTCTCCAGCCCTAGACCACTACCTCCCTAAGAGTTTGTAACCAGTAGCCTTAGAAACAATTTGGGAATCCTGAAATGCCTCATTTCAAACACTCTGGCTAGAGGCGTTAAAGAGGAAAACAGTTCAGCTGATAAAGGGATGAAACCTCTGGCCTCTATCTAGCTCCACAAGAGCACCATGGTTCAGCTCGTGCCTCGGAATGGCCCTTTGGCTGCATTTTGATACTTAGGCTACCATTTGCTTGTCTGCTCTAATCAAACAGTTCACTAAATTACAGGTACAATCTCTGGAAAGGAGAGCAGGCTCAAAACCTACTTAGTATAGTAACGCTGCCAGTGCTTTGGCTATTTAATGCTCACTGAATACAGTAAACAGATGTTACATACAAGAACGTTGATCTCCATACTATGGATACTTCTTAAAATAGGAGAACACTGTACAGTTGATCCTTGAACAACACAGGTTTGAACTGTGCAGGTCCACTTATATGTGGATTTTTTTCAGTAAAAGTTACACCAGGTGTGCCTGTCTCTGCTGCCACCTCTTCCATCTTCTCCATCTCTTCTGCCTCTCCTGAGACAGCCAGACCAGCCTTTCTTCCTCCTCCTCCTCCTCAGCCTACTCAGTGTGAAGACAATGAGGATAAAGACCTTTATGATGATCCACTTCCACTTAATGCATAATAAATATATTTTCTCTTCCTTATGAGTTTCTTAATAACATTTTCTTTTCTCTAGTTTACTTTATTGTAAGAATACTGTATATAATACATATACAAAGTAGGTGTTAATTGACTATGTTATTGGCAAGGCTTCCAGTCTACACTAGACTGTGAGTAGTTAAGTTTGGGGAAATCAAATGATACACACAGACTTTCAGGGGACTGGTGCCCCTAACTCCTGTGCTGTTCAAGAGTCAACTGTATATCCCAAGCCTTGACAGAAAAGAACATCAGAAAGTAAAGCTAAGTCAGAGAAAAACTGAAGAAAGAAATTGAAAAGAGAAGAAAGGGGGAAGAAAAAGCCATACTGTCCATGTTCTGCCATGTTCAGTTCATCTTTGTAAAATCTGTTCTATCCACCTGGAAAGATCTTCCACTCTCTCCGCCTGGTTAACTCTTACTTTGAGTTGTTCAAATGTCGCCTCCTCCAGGAAGCCGCCTTTGCTCCTTCCTGGCCAACTCTGTTGCACCTCCTGTGTCACACCCTGGCACACTGCTGCCTCAATTGCAGCACTTATAAGTCCCACCGCAAGAGCTTGTTTCCTTATTTTTCTCCCCCACAGAGTGACTGCAGAAAAAGCTCACGTTATCCTAATTGTGAGAATAGAGGTCTCGTGTCCGAAGGAAGAGTAGCAATGATTTCACTGGGCTCTAGAGTACTTAGACCACATTAAGAGTATTATTAATATAACAGTGCATTTGAGAAGGAAAACAAACAGACCTGAGTGCTTGAACAGAGCATCAGGGATGGAGAGAGTATGTCTTATAACCAGTGGTTGAAGGAACCAGAGGAAGGTTAGCCCGGAGAAGGAGAAAAGAAGGGAAGACACAATGTCTGCATTTAGGTAGCTGAAAGACTGTTATTCTTGAAAAAGCAGAACAAAAAGATAGAAATTATAGGGAAAGAGATTTGGGCTTAAAACAAAAATTTTCTTGCAGATAAAGCTATCCCACTGTGGAACCTGTGGCTTCGTTTAGTAACAATGAACCTCATGTTACTAGAATGAGAGTCATTATCTTTTAGGGCCACACTGGGAGCCGTTGTAGACAAAGCTGCTGCACTGTGTGGGAACACAAAGCAGATAACCCTCATGTCTTTAAGAATCGGAGTCCCCGTCCCGTGTGGAATCCCAGGAAGGAAGGATGACTGTGGGACATCATCCCCACCTCCACGCGCTATCTGCTTGGCCTGGTGCTCGGCACTCATCTCGCAAGCCCCGGGCCCACGCCGCGCATGGGGGAAGGAAGGGAGCCAGCTGCTTCCTCCAGGAGGCTGTGCCGTGAAACAGAAGGAGCATTGGACCGAGTCCCAGTTCATGTGCTCCTGGCCTCTCGCTAGCTGTGTGACTGTGAATGGCTGCCTCCAAGCCTGCATTTCTTGCCATGCATAATGGAAATAATATTGTTCACTTCACAGAGTTGCGGTGAGGTTTAAAGAAGTTAAAGGAGTCCTTTGTGGATGGCGGTGTGCTGCCCATAGGTGGGTGCTTGTCCGGAGCCCCCAGCTCCACCGCTGATGACCTCTGAACTCGGTTTTGTCACCAGTACAGTGGACATAATTCCCTTCCTTGCAGGGTTTCTGTGTGCTGGATGATTAAACAAAATGCCACATGTAAGAGCTCCCGGCACAGTACCTGCGGCACAGCAGGTTATCACGGTCGCCAGCCTCGTTTCAGCCTGTGGAGCTGAGGAGGCCAGCAGAAGGGTGTCCCCGCTCACCCGCCTCGCTGGTAAAGTCTTTGGAATGTTCTCTTTCACCTGCCGCAAGACCTGGCCCACCCTCATGCCCCTCTCCTGTTCTCCTGTCGTTCAGCATGGAACCACCTTCTATACTTTTTCTCTTTTTACTTCTTCCTTCCTCCCTCCTCTACTTCGCTCTCTTCCTAATGTTCTTTTCTTCTTTATCTCCAGCTCATTTCCCTACCCTTCTTTTCTACATTCTGTATAGGATCGTTCTGATGAGCACAGAGTTTAAAATAAGATTCTCAGAAGTATTTTGTTCAAAACCAAGAGGTTTTGTGTAGCTTTTTGGGGAAAGGAGAGGTGAGTCCTTTTTCATTTTCCTCTGAAATTGCTTGAAGTTCTTTTTTTCTGTGTTTAACATTTTCCCATCCTCTCATCCCTTGGGCTTGTAGTCATTAACTTGCCAGACACACAGCAACTGATTGTCTTTATGACGTTGCTAAAGTTAGGAGAGTGTCATTCACAGGGAACTTAACCCGTATATTAACTCAGACATAGCAAATTGCTAAATACGTGCCTTTAAATAAAGAGATTCAGAATGCCAGTTTGATTCTCTTGTTCACATCCTCTCCCACTGAAAAGGGGGTTGCTGAAACAGAAAAAGCAACAGTCAGGAGAGGGGAAGTTTCAACCATTTTACTGAGTCAGAAATTGGAAGGCTGCCATCCGGTTACAGACATCTCACCCATCCTTCCATCCATCCAGTCAACATTTCAGGAAATAGGTCCTCGTCGAAGTCCCAGCGTCGGGTCGTGGGGCAGACACTGAAGTGAGTGACAGAATCCTGCCTTCAGGCTTTCTCCCGTCCTAGCCTGCGACGTGAGCATCAGGAGCCGTGGCTCATTCATCCACGTGGTCCCAGGAATCCTCATGGGATCTAGCTCAGTAAATGCAGGAGTAGCAGTAAAAGCAGAGAGGCAGAGGGAACAAAAGAAGGAAGGAAGGAAAAATCATCAAACGAAGAAAGGAAATTGTATTATATACAGTACCGGGGTACAAGTTGGCACATGCTGCAAGTGTGATTTAAAGATTGTGGTGCGAATCCAGTGGGGCACTGCTGCATGTGGAAATTTGAATAAAGCGTACAGGGAAGCAATGGTATTGAATAATTATCTTCGTCTATGTAAGAGTCCAAATGGAAACCACACATTCACAGGTGCATCCCTTAGAACATGTTGTGTTTCTCTGGGCTTTTCTCCTACTAGGCTATGTTGCTTTTATTTAGCAGAAGAATGGAACTTTACCACTCCAGTGATTTCTGATTGTTAGGTCAGAAAACTAACTTGTTCCCTTCCAAGGAAAGAAAAGGAACCACCTATTCCTCCCCTGCCCACCTTACAGGACATAGTGTTTGTTTGGGAGCCACTGACCTGTTGGAACGAGCCTGGCCCTTGGTTCTTGGGTCAGCGTATGACTCACCAGCGGCCCTGTGCCTCAGTGTCTCCAAGGGAAGGGCGAGAAGAGAAACACCTGGCTTGTGCACACCCCTAGGTTGTCCTGACATTCACGTGAGAAGACATATATGCAAAAGCACTTTGAAAGGTGCTAGCTATGTAAGGACATTTATTATAAAATATAAAGATGTTAGCCTTACTTTTTACAGTACATTTGTTTGTTTCTAAAATCTTTGCCTGACACCTGAGGTCATTTGGTATCTGCAATTTAGTCAACTGCCAAATTCCACGTAAAAGAAACTTGCAGCATCTTTAAAAGAGAAGGAATTTTTCTCTTTTTACTAGAAAATACTCTGGACCTTTGTTTTATTCACAAATATATATTGGCTATTTTTTTATAAACTGATGCAAGGTAGTTGAGCTTCCAACTTTCACTCCTCTGGGTTTCTGCAACACTTTGCTCCTATCTTTAGTGCCTTCCACACTGCCTGTACAGGGTTCAATAAAGCCCAGTCCACACCCTCAGAGTTCACCACCCAGCAGGGACATAGACATGCGCAAATAGCTGTGACATGGACAGCTTATTTGATAGGTAGAGCTGGGAGGAAGAGCATACCTGGTGGAGCTTATTAACCTTTTAAGCAAGACAGGGAGAAAAGAAAGGCAAGGCACATTTGAGAACCCTAGTATTATCTTACTATATGATATGTTTGCATTTGTCTTATCCCTCTTATTACATCACACAATCTTGAGGACAAGGACTTTCTGATTCTTTGCAATTTTATTCTGTGGTCCCTGAGATGCACGTATAAAAAATAGGTCTTAGTAAATGGTTGCTTGAGCAAATATGTTCTGTACCATTTCATGCTTAATTTCAATCTCAAAATTAATACCACAGTTTTAAAAAGGCTCTGAACTCAATTCCATATGTAAATGGGATTTTGGATACTTTTCGGAATAAGATTTTTAACTCTGGGGGAAACAAAAACAAATGCTGATTTCAGTTCTAGAACATAGAATAGGTACAGTGATTTTGTTTATGCTTTGGATGTAAACTTAATACAGAGAGATTTCAAAAAAACCCAGAAATACTTGTTATATTCTCTGATGAGTCTCCAGTGCCTGAACTATGCCTGGCATATAGTAGATGTTTAGTAAATATTTGTTGAATGAATGAGTGGATTGGTAAACATTTATTGAGCACGTGTCAAGTACTGTGGCAGACTCGGGGGGCTGCAGTGGTAAATAAAGTGTTTATCCCCCAAAACTCACAATCTAATGGGGAGACAAACACTCAAACCAGCAATTAATATACCATGTGTAAAAGTGATAGTTAAGATGTGCCAGGAATTTATTTTCTATATTTAAGTGGTAGTAGTGATGTTATTATCACCTTGAAACAAGGAGTATCAAAGAAGAATCAACTTTTGTCATTTGTCCTATTATTTTACTAACCTTTGTCCTAGGTTGTCAGGTTTCCTGGGTGATGGAGGCTCATGAAAAACTCCAAGATAGTCCATGCTAAAGTTTGCATTAAAAAAAAGGTACACATGAGATTTGCTGGTCAAAGGCAGTTGCCTTGTAAGAACAGACATTGCTGGTCTGAAGTTGCCCTTTCCAGCATTTTTCCCTTGCGGTTCTTCTTCCTCTCTCTCCCCTCTTAACAGTTGGTGTTCCACAGCTACCTGCAGAGTTTTAGCGGCCACCACTGTGCCGAGGGCTTGACTTTGTCTTATTTCCAGACTCAATTTCTCTCCAGGGTTTTATACCAAACTGCCTGCTGGACATTCCTCGGAGGTTTCATACTCAACCTGTCCAGACCAGAACTTGTTGTTTTACCCCCTGTTCCTACTGTCAAGAATAATCCCTGCGTATCCACCCATCAGATCAGCCCAGGAGGCCTCCTTCCCTTATACTCCCTGCCTCCAAGCAGATTGATCTGAACTCTTGGTCCACAGCTCCTTTGCAGTCCACTGCTTCAGTCTCACACCAGCTGATGACCTTGTCTCCAGTCCTTTTCTCCTCTAACCTACTGTCCACAAAGAAGCCACCATGATCTGTCTAAAACACAAATATGAATGGATATATTCTAAACTCCTTAACATGGCTTATAACCCCCTTTGTGTCTGGTACCTGCTTATTTCTCTGATTTCATCCTCTGACACACCATCTTCATTTCCATGTTCCCAAGACCTGGCATTGCCCAGGCTTAATGTGTGTTTACCAAGTGAACCAATAAACCCAGACCTGGAGAGGAGGAAGGGCATGTGGGTGGGCAGTGGCTCAGTAAATGTGGTCTGGGAAATAGGCACTATGGCTGGACACACACATACACACCCCAAACCCACAGTGTGGCCACACCAAACCATGTGAGGTTGCTCCCTGTCCCCTGTGGTTTACAGTCTCATGCAGTGCTGCTTCTCATTCCACCTTTCCTCCTGGCACACCTGGCAGGCCACCTCCTCTGTGAGGTCTCGCCTAACCTAACCCTGCTCTGGACAGTCTGGCAAGCCTGAAAATGCACTGATTTAGCCACTAATCTTATATGTATGCTGGGTTTGGTAAGTCTCCTGTTTCTTTACCAGAATTTATAGCTCCATTACTGCAGAAAAATTTGTTATAGTCTCCGACATGTCCCTGGGGTGCCACCGCTGTGGCCACACCACACACACAGCCTGTCATTAAGCTCTACTGAAGGAATTTGTGTGTGCGTGGTGACCGCCCGGCCGGGGGAGAAGGGACAGCATCTCACGCACAGTGTACGTCCACAAGTGGAACGGCATCTGGCACACAGCAAACAAAGATCCATGGAAACTTGACTGAATGAACGCGTGAGTCAGCCTCTCAGTCCACGGTCCTGTTGCATAGTGAACTTCAGCTCCGCCTTCTCCCTCCCACCCCGCCCGCTCACATCCACCACACACGGTCACCTTTTCCTTGGTGGCCTCTCTCACGCACCCTCCCTCGCCCTTGCTCTGGCTGCTCCCTGGAATGGGCGTGCCTTCCCTCATCCCTGCCCTCCTCCACTCAGTCTCTCCTGCCTGCACACCACCCCGCCTGCCACCTGTGGTGTGATCTGCCACAAACGTCACTGTGATCACGTCATTTGCCCACGCAGGGTCGTGCCGTTCCACCTCATTACTTACTGAGTAACGTCCCGACACCTCACCTTGGCACTCAGGCTGCTCCGCTGTCTGACCCTAACCTGCTTTCTAGTCTCCCCTCACACCCCTCAGCAGCCAAACTAAATTCCACCACACTCCACAGAGAGGCTCCCCTTTCGTCTCTGTTTCCTTCCACAGACACTGTTTTCCTGCAGCGACCTTCCTTTTCCCCCCGCTTGTCAAAATCTTCCTCATTTTTTGCCACCAGACCAAATGCTGTTCTCACTCTGAAATCCAAAGTGACTATCCTAGCCAAAAGTGATTTTTCTTTCCCTGCGCTATTACAACATGCAGATTATGCCACTCATGTGGCATAGGACATGTTGCTTTTATTGTAATTATGAATCATATGAGTGCCTGCTCTAGTCAGGGCATGGTACCATGTGTGTCACCCGCCCTTTCCGTAATTCTCACCCAACCTGCAAGGTAAATATTATCAGTGGCATCCATAATCTGTCCAAGGTTACACAGCTAATAAGGGTGGAGCCAGGCTGCAAGTCTGTGTCATTGGTGTATGTCACTGCAGAGCCTGCGCCCTAAGCCCCCAGCGGCTGCCTCACTCACAGTTCCTTGTTGTCTTGTGCTTCCTTTTGAGTAGAGAGGGATCCCGGACCTTATGTATCTTGGCTCCAAATGCAACAGAGATCTATTGAGTATCCTCGTCGGCTCATAATACATGACCTAATAATGCCTCATACACAATAAATATGGCATAAAAGAATGGCTGAGATGTCCCCTTTTTTCTTCTACTGTTGATGCTGAAGCATGTGCTCTATTTGGTGTTTTCAAGGGGGATGACACTTTGTTACTCCCACTATCTCCTGGACTAGTCTATGCTCTCACTCTCCTGGATTACTAAATTGCCTTAACTATTGTCCTGGCCGGGAATCCACCCTACCCTTTGCTGCCAAACCAGTCTTCACAAATACCAACTTGATCACTTTGTTCCAGTAACATTTGGTTTCAACTCCCATGCCTGACTTTCAGGGTCCTTCACTTTGCCTCATCACCCTGACCCTTTACACAGCCCAAGATCACACGTTGAGCTATCTCTTCCACTGGCCCCAGTGTGATTCCTCTATCTGAGCCTCTGATCTCCTCTCTTGAACATACCACATAAATTCCTATGCAATGCCTTTTTGTTGTGAGGTTTATTTTTTTCACATAAATGCCTTTTCTCCTCTCCAGCTCTGTGTTTATTGGTTTATTCAGTAAGCACATTGAATCTGGCTGTTCCCAGAACATTAGACTCTGGGAGCATAGAAAATAAGACACACTTTGCCCGCAGGGGGCTCCCAGTCTGCTGGAGCACGTAGACACAAAAGCAGACAGTGTAAAGAAACAGTGAAAGGAAAACAGAATTCTGTCAGGGAACTGTCACGTTCTACCTATTCTTTATGTTCTGCCCAAGTCTATTTTGTGTCCAAATTAATTTCTGCCTTTTATAAATCCTTATAATTCCAGTTATCCTGCGTCATGCATTTTTTACATTTAAGTACATACTGCCTATGTTGTTTGAATGTTTCCTGCATGTGTCCTGCTTCCACTGGTGGATTTTAAGTGCCTTGAAACAAGGTCTCTGCCTTCTATGTTTTATGCTAGCCTTATCAGTTAGCATTTACTGATACCCCCAGACTTAGTAGGTTAAAACAACAAACATTTATTATTTCTCACAATTCTTGAGAGTTGGCTGGGCAGTTCTTGTTTGGACTGGTTTCACTTGGGGCTGGATGATCTAGGATAGAGATAGGTGAACTGTAACTCACAGACCTGCCACCTGATTTTGTAAATAAGGTTTAATTGGAACACAGCCACATCCGTATGGTCTGTGGCTGCTCTCGTACTACAGCAGTAGAGTTGAATAGTTGGAATGGAGATGACTGTATGGCCCGTAAGCCTAAAATATTTACTGTCTAGTCCTTTAAGAAAAGGGTTGCCACCCTCCCTCCCCCATTCTAGGATGGCATGTCTGGGGAACCCACCCACCAGGGGTAGCTGTTCTATGTGGTCTCCCCATCCTCCTGGAGACCAATCTGGAATTCTTTATATGGTGGTCTCCGGATTCCAGAAAGCAGTGGGAGAGGGCAAGCTCCAACATGCAAGCATTTTTTTTCCAAGTTTCTGCTTGTAATGCATTTTCTGTTATCCCGTTGGTAAAAGCAAGTCTCATGGCCGAGCCCAGAGCCGGTATTGGGGGGACTGCCCAAGACCCTGTATTAAAGGAGGGAATTAGCACAGCCACTTGGCAAGCAGTCTGCCATACCAGTCTGTTCCAACCACCGCTGCACTCGCCTCCGTCCCCAGCGCCCAGCATCGAGCACATGGCGGATACTCAGTACATGCTTGTTGAATTGAATTAAAAACACGAATTGGATTTTGAGAGGAAGGAAATACAACGAACAGTTATTGCATAACTACAATGTGCCAGGTACTGCCACAGGCCCTGGGATACAGTGAGGAACAAAGCGTGCAGTTCCTGTCCTCAAGGAGCATGCAACCAGACATCAATTCTGTGTCCTCTCTGGCCAGTTAAGAAATGGGATTTCTCTCTAGGATTCCCATTAAGGACTTTCAGCATTTAACTCTGGCTCTTCCATCATTTGCCGTTTCCTTTCTACCCCTGCTACCCACCCATTATCTGGACTTTCCAAGCCAGACATGCTAAAGCAGGCCTGTGTTTCCGGCCTCTTCCTCACCAGTGCCCTGCACATTGCCGACCAGCCGATGCTCTTGATGCCCCAGTTTCATTAGGCCTCTGCCTGCTCAGAAGCCCTACCCATCCACCAAATCGAGGCCAGACTCTTTAACATCCTAGAGCAAGCCCCCTTTCACAGTCCTGAAGCTCCCCCTTGGACTGCATTCCGTTCTCTGAATATACACTGTGCATCCTTATGTTTGTACCTTACTTGTCCTCTCTCTGCAGAGTGTTTTGCTTTCCCAGATGTGCCTGTTGAGATACTACCCATCTGTCAAGGCCAGGCTGGGTGCCACCTCCTCCATGCTGCTTCCCTGGTTGCCCCCACTCAAAGTTATTTCCTCATCTGCATTTATAGGGTGCCGAGTTTGGAATGCAACTCAAATGGTGCATATCACATACTGTTTGGCATTTGTGTTATCCTGACTCATCCACTGCATGCATGACACTCTGCTTGAGATTAAGGACCAGATCTTATTTCATTTTATTTCCTTCTGAATACCTTGCACAAAGGAGCCTGTTAGTAAAACCTTGTCTCATGAATAAATGAGGAACTGACATTTCCAAACTCTTATTTGCCATACTTCTAAGAAACCATTTGATTTAAATATTTATTTTATGCATCACTAAGAAAGAAAATATCAATTAAAATATCAGCTATCAATTATAAGATATATCCTAATTTCTGAAATATCATGAGTTATAAAAATGTATATTCCAGAATCAGTGAAATATAGAATATTAAATCTAATTCAGATAGATGTAAGTATCCCATTAGATATTTATAAAACACTAAAATATGCAAGGCATTAGAATTTCGCAACAGCCATATAAGAGAGGTAGGGTGGATAGTATTATTTTCATTTTACAGAGGAAATAATTAAAGTTCAAAAAGGCTGCGATACTTGTTCAGAGTGAAACAGATATAAATAAGAAAGCCAAAGCGTATTGCCCAAATCCTATGGGTTAGGCAGCTACCTTCCTAAAATCACCTGGATATCAAAACCCTTAAGTTGACTCTAGGTCTACTTATTAATGTTACCTTTTTCCTTTTCATAGTGCTACCTTCCCAAAATTATATGCACATCAGTTGGCTTTTCAGTTTGTTTTTCCCAGCAGTATTGTTTTGTCATGTTACCCCCAAGAACATCCTGTTACTTGGCATAACATAATACGATGTGATGTGATATTTCATGCTGCTTCGGAAAAATTAGAATGATTGTTGGATGCTTAGATTTTTCTTGGGTAGTAATTAGCAGACGGAATCTCTCACACACACCCATAGGAGTTTCTCAACCATCATTAACCTCAAAATAGTAGAAGGCTTTCCAAACCCAACACTTCCCTTAATTAATTACTTCATCTGAATGCTTGCCTTTAGATTGTAAGAAACACTCTCTGAAATATACAGTTAAAAGATAAAGCTTTTTTTATTATTAAGATTAGATAGTCATATTGTGTACAGAATTGATATGTGCACATTATTTAACTTATGTAAATATCAAGCTGATTTTTAAGAACAGGTACACTAAAAACACTTTCCCATATATGTCTGGTTGTATTTTCATTTTATTCAAATTGCTCAGTAGAAGAACAAAAACACAAGTGAAGGAATCTTCCCAGATCAGCAGGAACTGGAATGTGTTCAAGCCTTGGCAGAGTCAGTTCAGCCTTTCATCTAAGGGAGACGTGTTGAAATACCCCCACTGTTCTCAGGATTACTCAGACTTTATTCAAGTAGCTTATCGATTGCTGGTCACTGAGCTTTATTTAAAAAAAAAAAAAAAACGAGAGAGGGAAAAGAGTCAGAAAGACTAGCCAGATGATACAAAATAAGATCTATGAAGGAAAATCAAGAGAAAGAGGTTGTTTAGCTTGGAGAAGAAAGAGCAAATTTCTGATTTCAAATACATAAGGGTCTTTAGGTGAAGAAAATAACAGGTCAGCTGTTTCCTATGACTGCCAAGCCCAAAACAAGTGAAAATTGGCTGCTATTTTTGATAGACACATTACATGGTGACAGAGTTCTAGAAGTGGGATAGTGAGGTGTTCATTCTAAAACCTTTACAATTCAATTTTCTAAACTAGATAGAAGCCCAAACTAGAAAATTCTTGTAAGGACCCTTCAGTACTATCTTGAGTTAACCAATCACCTACTTCCATAACTTTTGGAACTATATTCTATACCTCTCACTGCTGGCTGCTATGACATGGACAAATTCTAAACTAGGATGCAGTAGACCTTATGAGAACTTGACCAATTAAGATTATGCAGTCTCCAAGTTCTTATATGATAATATAAATGTCCTCTAGCCCGTCTGTCCTATATAGATCATATGGATGGCTCTTGCCACACATATTCCGTGTCACATCATAAAAACTTTCAGGTGCTTGGCCTTTTCAAGAATGTTGCCCCTTAAAATATGCCCTTTTTCTCCTACATGATCAGTTTCTTCCTTTTATTGAATCTTTCCCATTGGTATATAAAATCTTTAATATTTCCCAATGAAATATTAAGCTTTCTTATGCCATCCCCTCCTCTAGCTTTCACCCCACTTTACTGCTACCTTCCACACAAGGTATTTTGAACTTGGCTTTAGGTATTGTCTCTACTCCCTCATTTCCCACTCTCCTCAACACATTCTATTAAAGTTTCTGACCCCACTACTTATCCAAGCTACCAGTGGCCACCTTGTTGCCTCATCTTCCTCGGCTTCTCAGCAGCATCCAGTACAGTCAATCACTTCCTTCTTCCTGAAACTTCCCTGGGTTTTCATGACAGGGTCTCTCCTGGATTTTTTTCCTTCCTAGTCACCACCGCTGTCTTCTCCCCTGCTCAGTTTCTGAATTGGGGTGTCCTGAGGCTCAATTCTGGCCTTAGGTGTTTTCTCTGCACCTTCACTTGTTATCACATCTGTGATAACTTTTAAGCTATATTTGTGATGCATGATGGATGTGATGGATAAGCTTATTTGTGATGGATGAATTAGCTAGAAAGTAGAACTAAAGTAGTTTTCATACAATGGAACACAGACAAAGAGTTGGAATTATAAGGAAAAGAGGTTAGTATGTGTGGAGGGCAAAATAAGAAACCCTAACATAAGCCTATTCAGCATCTCAAAGGGAACAAAAATATGCATAATTAAGGTGAGATGATGTTTAAAGAGATTTATTATTTGGATTTTCCAAATAAGGTGATAAATATTGATCCACAGATATAGTAAGCAAAGTATACTAAGCAGACCAGAAAAAGGCATTCACAGCCTTTTATACTACAGATCACTGAAGACAGAGTTCTCTTAAAAGGAATCATAAGGAAAATACAGGTCATATCCACAAAGGAACAATAATTAGGCTGACAGCAAACTTCTCCATAGCAACAATTGAAGCCAAGAGACAGTGAAATTGTTTCAAAGTTCTGAGAGAAAATAATTTTCAACCAAAAATTACATACACAGCAAAAATATTAAAATATGAAAGTGAAATATTGTTTTCAGAAAAACAAAACCTAAGAGAGTTTACCACTAGCAGACTTACACTGAAGGAACTACAAAGAATATATTTAATACTTCATGAAGAAGGAAAGGGATATAGCAAAAGAAAGTCTGAAAAACAGGAAGAAGTGGTAAGCAAAGAAATTGGCAAACATGTAGGTAAATCTAAACAAATATAGTTGGTTTAAAATAATAATATCTAATACAGAAATGTTTAAAAGATAAACTAAAATATTGGGTAAAGCTCCATATATGTGAGGATGGAATTAATCAGAGTTTGCATTCTAAGGTCCTTTTGCTGTTCTGAAGGGGTTAATATACTAATTTTAGATTTCAAGGGTAACTAATGAAAGAATAAAGTAGAAATAGTATATAACTTCTAAGTCTAATTTTTTTAAGTCAAAAAAGGGGAAAAAACATAAAAAAGTTAAACAGAAAGCAAAAGTAAGATTATACAAATACAAATATATTAGCAACCACAATACATGTAAATGGCCTAAATTTTCTGGCTAAAGGACAGATATAGTAAGATTATGATTTTTTTAAAATAATAATACCAATTCAGATATACAGTACTTAGAGAAAGGACATGTCTAACACAGAAAGACAAAGAAAGTTCTAAAATAAAGGGATAGAAAAATATATTTCAGCAAATACTAATCAAAAGGAAGCCAGGGTAGCTTTGTTGATATCAGTCAAAATAGACTTTAAGACAAAAAGTATTCATCAAGATAGAAAAGCATTAAAATATGTAACACAAAATTTGATAACACTATCATGATTCTTCAAGTTATTGCTTGGTCAAGCAGACAATAATTAGTAAAAGTATATAAATTTTAAGCAGCACAACTAAATAGCTTAATTCATGGACATAAGTAACCTCCCACCAAAGAACTATAATATAGGTAATTTTTACATGGAAGAGTTATAAAATTTGCCCTCATACTAAGCCTCAAAACGATTCTCAGCAGATTTCCACGTATCACTATAATACTGACCATATTCTCTGATCATAATAAAATTAAAATTCAGTAACTAAAAGATAACCTCCCCAAAATTCCCCTTATATGTGGAAATTTTAAAACATTTCTAAATATCTCATTGATCAAAGATATCATAATGGAAAATTTTAAATACTTAAAGTTGAATGATAATGAAAATATTACAAATCAAAACTTGTGGGATACAGTGAAAGTTGTACTTAGAGGAAAATTTATAGTCTCAAGTGCTTTTACCAGAAAAGAAAAAAGTGAAAATTAATAAGCTAACTTTGAGCAGGTTAAGAAAAAAAAGACAAAAGGTGGAGAAAGGGAGGATAAAGATGAGAACAAACATTAATTAAATTGAAAATAAAAATACCATATAGGATATAAACAGAGCCAAAAGATGGTTCTGTGAATGGGATTCATAATACAGGGTTTGGTAAACTTTTTCCTAAAAAGGCAGATAGTAAATATATTTGGTTTATGGGCTGTGTAGTCTCTGTCACTGCTATTCAGTACTGCCCCTATAGTTCAAAAGCAGCTATAGACAATATGTAAATGAGTAGGTATGGCTGAGTTCCAGTAAAATTTTATTTAAAAAAACTGGTGGTGGGCCGCATTTAGTCTTTGGACTATAATTTACTGACCCCTGAACTAATGGTAAGACTGATGTAAAAGAATAAATCTAATGAGAAAGTGAGCAAAGTGGCTGGATATAAGATCAATATACAGTATATATCAATAAAAATTAATTGCCTTTTTATACATCAGTGACACAGAAAAGTAACTTTTTAAAAATTACTGATAATAACAAAAAAATTTAAGTACCTAAGAATAAATCTAACAAACCTTACATAAGACCTAAAGAAACTAAAACCTTATTGTTTAATCTGCTTCAAACCAATAGTTCTCAAAATTTTGATCTCAGGATTTCTTTATACTCTTAAAAATTACTGACAACCCCAAAGAACTTTTGTTTATTTGAGGTTTTATATATTTATATTTACCTTATAGAAATTAAAACTGAAATTTAAAGTATTTATTAACTTTTAAAATAAAAATAATAAACTCACTATATATTAACATGAATAACATTATTTTTGTGAAAAAACTATATTTTTCAAAACAAAAAAATTAGAAAAATAATATTGTTTTATATTTTTCAAAATCTCTTTAATGTCTGGCATAATAGAAGACATTTAGATTCTAATATCTATTTTAGTATTTAATCTGTTGTGATATGTGGTTTTGGTTTGATTATATTAAAAAAATCAGCCTCACACAGGATATGTAGTTGGAGTAGGAGTTAGTATTTTAATAGCTTTTTAAAATAATTGTGGATATTCTTAATTGATACTCCATCAAAATTTGACAAGTGGTAACTTCTTAAAGATTAGTTCCAATATGGACTTTAAAACCATATCAATGAACTTTTCATACTGCATTATATTAAAATTCATCAGCATTTCTTACACATTGAATAGATCTTTTATCCAGGTATGATTTTGTAAGACCACAGTTATTTGAAAAATGTTAGTTTACCAAGTTATATAGATCTTCAAAATGGTAACACCATTTTACAATGTCCAAAAAAAAAAAAATTTCATGTTAATATTACCACCAGTCTAATCAGAAAAGTCTTTCCAATTTGGGGAAGCTGTCAAGCTCCCAGTAGGAAATACACATCTTCCAAAAATCTGATTTTTATTTGAAAGCTTGGATTTTATCACTGGCAACAAATACTGTCAGTTGTTTTCCCTGAAGTGACAGCTCACTCACCTTGTTCAATTTCAAGAAAATATCTGCCAAATACCAAGTCTGAATAACCATAGTTTGTCAGTCATTCTTTCAAGGAAAAAATGGTGTTCTAGGAAAATGTAGCTTGTTCAACTTGCAACTCAAGCAATCCCACAAATGCTTTCGTTGAGACAACAATCATACTTTAGTATGCAGCGAAAGTACTCTATGTGGATGTCTCTTTTGTCAACATGTTAAATGTTGTGTACTCAAGTGTTGAGATTTAATACAAATCATTTTTCCTACTTGATCCCAGTACATTTTAAGTGAATCTAGCATTTTGTTTTACTGTGAGTGTGTGTGGTGGTGAGGAACTAGCATAGCTTGGTGCCACTGCCTTGTTTCATGCTGAGATGCCAACAGTTTTACCCACCATTACATTTGCACCAGCAGCACACACATCGACACTGTGAAAAAGACACAGCATCTTAGTATTATTATGAAAATAGTATTGACTTCATTGACATTCTGAAAGGGTCTCAGGATCCCCAGGGGTTCCACAGACCACACTGAGATCATTGCCATGGACCTTCCTGTGGCTGTCTCTTTCGCGTCACTCAGATCTCAAGTTAAACGTCATGACCTCAGAGAGGTCTATTATCCAGAACTCCACAGTGACTTCTGTAGCACCCTATTGTGTTTTTATGATAGTACTTATCACCACTTCATAGTTTGTGGTTTACTTACTTATGTGTTTATTGTCTGTTTACCCCAACTAGAATGTAAGACTGAAGGGACCTTGTCTGTCCTTTCAATATCATACCTAGGTCTCCAAATCCTAAAATAATCACTTGGCACCTAAGCACTCAATACCTGTTCATGGAATGATTGAATCAGGTTGAGACTGTCCATAAGGAGTTGAATTTCTCACCATTTCTCATTCAGATGGCCTCATGGCTGTAATAGCTATTTTTTGCTCATTCTAGATTCTTTGGATAACAACAAAAGGAACTTTTGAGTTCTGCATTTTACATGTGTTTGCTCAGTCCCTGTTAGAAACCCTAAAAGTTGAGTGTTAATTTATCCCTTTTTACAGAAAAAAGCATCTGAAGGTCAATAAGAACTATTATAAACATAAAGAGCTAGTGAGTGTTAGAGCCAAAAACTGAACTCATATCCTTCATCTTCCTCCCAGGCGAAACAGTAACTCAATGGATGCACATTAAGACGTACTCATAATTATTGCTCAGAGTGCCAAAGTTTCAAGAGTTGGCTGCCAAATGATGAGGAAATAGTCATTCAGAAAGTGTGCTTGTTAGAGGGAATTTTTAAAATAATTAAAATTGAAACTCTGAAGTTATAACAAATGAGCAGCAGATTTTCAAAATTAACTCTTTTGCACATTTTAGAAATGTTTACCTCAACCTTCAATTCCCAAGAAGCCATTATATTTCTTCAGTCTTTTGCCCAGAACTTCTTCACATCTTTCCTAGGAACTGCAAAACGGCAAATGAGCATGAAGAGCTCATGTTACATTCACACCAAAGACCTCTCCTTTGCCCTGGTTCCTGGCTGGAACAAGTATATGATAACATATGATAACATACCATGTCAGCATGAAGACTCGGGCCTGAGCCTAATCTCAGCTATTTTATCCTTGCTTTGTACACTATACCCCAGAGAAGCTACGACTAAATTTCTAGGGTCACAGAGAAGTCGGCAATAAAATATGGAACACAAGTCAGGCCTCTTGTCGTGTAGACGGGTGCTCTGTTTGCTTTAGATTTTATTTGAAGTCTTTCATACTAGGGAGAGATTTACCAAGAGACTTTCACAAGAGCTCCTAG